GAATTTTAAATTTACTTTTCTTATTATCATAAAGTGGAACAAGTAGTTCTACTTTATTGCCATAAAGTAATAAGTGATATTATTAAAAATAGTAAACTTTATTACCATAAACTAGTATACCAGGAGAAGAAAGTTCTGTTTTATTATCACAGATCAGTTTTAGTTTTACTTTAGCATAATAGGATAAATTTTTTTTAAAAAAAGGAAAATTGTAGTATATTTACTTTGTTTGTTTGGCAGTTGACAATATACCTACATAAAAATTTAATTATTCTAATTTCTCTTGAACATTTCTATTTGTTCTCTATTTATGTCTTTTTGTAAAAGGTTTTCTAGTTACTATTACCTGGAAAGGAAAAACAAAATATGCATTTTACCAAAACACACTATATATATTCTTCATAGTAATCTGTTTGATATCATTTGTATCCATAATCATAGTATATTTTTCATATCATGTCTGCAGTCTATATCCCACAATACAGACCATACTGATTATTTTATACACAAGTTTTAAAGATAATACAAATTATCAAGTTCTTACCAGATCTTGCCCAGCACATCAAACAGAGAACTATATACACTCTCATTTGGAATCTGATAAAAGAAGCACTTAGATTCACCAAAAAAGAAATTGTGATAGTCAGTGAGGTTTCTCTTTGGTAGGACTGTTACAGTCTACTAGGTTTTAATGTAAAAGATCCCTGACCTTTGCTCCACCCTGTTTGTTGAAAAGGTGAAGTAGATTGTTTCTACCCAATTAGCTTGTGATTGTGAGAAAGACTTTTAAGTCAAAGACTTTGTAATAAGTCACAAACATTCAACCATACAAGTTGGATTTAAGAGAAAGAAAAACCTAATTATATCTTTCTTTATTCCTCTTAACCTCAGGATTTCAGAAGTGGTTAGGAAGAACGTATTTGTTGAAAACCTAGAGCAAATGTGATGTTAACAAATGCTAGAAATGGAAAGAGTCAGAAAAAGTTGGGTTTTATGTTAATTTTGATTATAAACTAATTTGTCTTTATACACCATAAAATCAATAATGAAATTCATATCCATAAAACTGTCAAGTATAAAATATGGCTTTTTCATGTTTGTCACTATGTAACCCAAACTCAGTGGCTATTTTAAACGTTAAAATGCTAGCCTGTCTCTCTAGATCTATAATTTGAAAATGTAAAATATTTTTTAGTATAGCAAACATATTTTACAATTATTATAGGTTTTATTTTCACACATTTACTTAATTTTTCTCTTATTTTCCTTCCAGCAATGAACTTCAGTAGGCAAGGAAAATAGAGAATTGTTCTAAAGACATGCATTACAAGTTCAAAATTAAACTTTTTTTAAAAAATTTAAGTCTGTAAATTTCTAAATATACTTTACAAAAAGAAGTGTTTAAATTATTTCCTTGATCAACAGAAACCAGTCTGCAGTCTGGGGAGGTGTTTCATTGGATTCACAAACAGAATGGGTTATTCATTTAAAAATAATGAAAAATGTAATTGCTGCTGAAGCCTCATCATTATTTTGTGAGACTTCATTTTTAAAAGGGTATCACCATTAACATTTTTGTATTGTTGACATTATTATAGATGTTCCCCACCCCTTGCCCCTACTTTGTTCCTCTCCAGCCAGGCCTCGCCCTCCCCTCCCTCTGGCTCTAACCACTTTGTTGTCTGTGTCCATTAAAATTTCACTGAAGACCACCAAATAACCTAGGTCCTTTCATATTATTTAGCTGTATCAACTGCACTTTCCTAACCAAGGTATAAATAGACAACATCATTTCAAAATCTGGGAAGAAAAAATACATAATTGTCATACATGTTAAAAGAGATTTTTCTTAACCAGAGTATACTCAAATCAAAAGATATGTCTTTCCTATTTAACATAAATTATCCTTTTGCTTTGTGTTTTCGATGTGATAGGGTAATATGAATCTTGCACATTATTTTCCAGATTACAATAAAACCTGAAGATACACTTCCCAGATAAGCAGTGCCTGAAGGAAGTTAATAAGGAAATATGCTGGTTTGGATAAGATTTATAAGGTAAATTAATTTTTAAAAATCAATAGGTGCAGTCATAATAGAAACTTGCAAGTATGCATTCATTTGATGAACATATATTTGTTATACACTTATAACATGCTAGTTTCCTTCACCCCTTTCTACCCTACTGTAACAATGTTGATGACAGAGGAAAGAAAGAACAAATGCAGACAGGATTTATATTACGATATATCAACTGAAGGTGATTAGTAAAGTTGCTGGCACACTATTTTGTATTTAAGTATGTCTCTCCCATTATGCGGTAAGCTTCAGGAAGGCAGATCATTATACTTACTTGTATTTCCCAAGGATTAAAGGCAGTGCCTGGCACATAACAAGCACTCAGAAAATACCTTTTAAATGAAGTAATTATATTAGTCCATTCAATTTAAGAAATAGAACTTGAATTCCAAAAAGTAAATTTACTTATCTAAAATCATAAAATTAAGTCCCTGGTCAGAGCAAATACAAGAATCAACCCATGAATGGGTAAATAGGTGGAAGAAAAAAACCAATGTCCATCTCTCTCTCTCCCTTCCTTTCTCTCTCTAAAATCAATCGATAAAAAATTTAAAATTAAAAAAAATAATAAAATAAAATTAAGTAATGTCAGAGTTCAATTAGAAATCAGGGTTCCAAAGATGTGTCTCTTTTCATTTGAAGAGATTATTATTTATTTTTATGTTTTTATTTTTTGGTCCACCAACCAAGCAAAAGCATGCCTTGTCAAATCAAAGTGAATTCTCTCCATGCTTACCTAACGGCCAAATGGTATCCTGATTACTTAAATGATACTAACATAATGATTTCAGGTTTCTACGTGGACATATGGTATCTTCAGAAAGGAAGCCAAGTTAACAGATAATTGCCTTACCAAAATACTGAGATTCTAAGTTTTCTTCCCCTTTCTTTAAATTATCTTTATTATTTTTAAGACTTAAAAATCCTCCCCAAGTAGGAATCATTCTTTATTTCCCCGTTTATATTTACTTTATTTCATTCATTAAAAACATACATTCATATTACTTTTAAAACATACATAGTATAGTACTAGTATCTTATCAGCTTATAAAATATACATTTGCAAAATCTATATATATAAAAGCCTAAACAACCATCCGACTGTTCGACCATTTGCCCAGTAGCTATGATGCACAATGACCACCAGGGGGCAGCCACTCCAACCAGTAGAGGAGGGAGGCTGATTCCTCGCGGAATTGGCTGTGGGTTAGGTTGCTGCTGGGGCACTGTTGGCCCCGAATCTGCTTCACCCGCAGCCCGGACCCATAAGGGAATGTTGGAGACCTGGTCCCTTGGCCTGGCCTGCACCCTCTTGCTATCCGGAACTTCTCGGGGGATGTCAGAAAGCCAGTTTCCACCCAATCCCCACAGGCCAGGCTGAGGAACCCCACCAGTGCACAAATCCGTGCACAGGGCCTCTAGTTACTATATAAAACTGTTTGGAGACCACTTCTTTATGCAATACTGATGTCAAATAATGCAAAAGATGTAAGGAAAGCATGCTGAAGATGTGTTCTATAGTCCATGTACTATACCACACTGCTTACATGAAGTAGGTACTTAAAAAATAGAATGGAATAATTTTCCAAGGCTTAACTTATTCTTCTTTATTATCTACTTGACAAATGAGTTTGGCATCTTAAAATATTCCTATTTGTGTTTTTTATGTATATTTTTACTGTTGATAGTATTACAGATGTCTCCCACTTGCCCCCTTTACCCCTGTCCTTCCAGCCCTTACCACCCGCCCCCCAGGTCTTCACCACCCTATTGCCGGTGTCCATGGGCTACACATATAAGTTCTTTGGTTTATTTCTTCTCGTTTCCCCAACCCCACATCAAGGTATGTCAGTCTGTTCCATACCTTCATGCTTTGGGTATAATTTTATTGATCAATTCATTTTGTTCATTAGATTTCACAAATAAGTGAAATCATGTGATAATTCTTTCTCAGACTGGCTTATTTTACTTATTCTCCAGGTCCATCCATGCTGTCCCAAAGGAATCAATTCTTCACACTGGGACACAATATACAAAGTAAAGTACAGTCCTAATACAAGGTACAAATATTGTATCCTGTTACAGTGCCCAGCAGCCATCCTGGCTTCAGGCACAAAACTTGCTATATACACTTTTCTAGTATTCCTTGGTATAGGCTGTTTTCTCAAGTTCAAATGCTTTCTAGTGTCCACCTAAAACCTCTGCAGCCATTTTCAGACTTTTCTAGGAAATGCTATCTAGGTGAATAAACTTTAGTTTTAGTATTCTATTGTAGCCAAATCCATGCATACATGCACACATTCATTCTTTCAAAAAAGAATTTTATAAAGAATATAATTTTAAAATCCTAATGATTCATTTACTCTTTGGCAACTGATTTTCCCCCATTAGCCTGACAGTATAAGGCAGTGATGGCGAACCTATGACACGCGTGTCAGAGGTGACACGCCAACTCATTTTTTTGGTTGATTTTTCTTTGTTAAATGGCATTTAAATGTATAAAATAAATATCAAAAATATAAATCTTTGTCTTACTATGGTTGCAAATATCAAAAAATTTCTATATGTGACACGGCACCAGAGTTAAGTTAGGGTTTTTCAAAATGCTGACACGCCGAGCCAAAAGGTTCGCCATCACTGGTATAAGGTAAGCTCTATAGAAATTTTATATAAAATGCTGGTTGAATAAATCTAGAATCAATGAATAATGTTGCGCCCAGAAATATTGCGGGCACTCCACAAGCAGCAGGGCAAAGCCCCTTCCACACTAGCCTTACTTATTCTCCCCCACACTCCACAGTCCCAGCCAGTCCCCAGCGGCGCTGTGGGCTGGTTCCTCAGTCAGGCAGAGGGGGCGTGGCTTCCCAGCCAGGCCCCGCCCCCCCGCGCCGCTCCCAGCGCCCCCGCCCTCGCCCGCCCCCGAAGCGGCTAAGGAGGGCGGCGTGTGGGCATCTCCTCAGTCCTCCGCCGAGACCGGAGGGATGTTCCCTGCTCAGGAGGAGGCCGACAGGACGGTGTTTGTGGGGAATTTAGAGGCCCGAGTGCGGGAAGAAATCCTTTACGAGCTGTTCCTTCAGGTACCGTCAGTGGGGAAGGGGCGGTGGAGGGGGCGGCGCGCGCGCTGCCGGAAGCGCAGCCGCAGAGCGGGCGTGCGTGG